CAATTTTCGTTTGGGCTTGTATTATATTTGCTTTCGGATTTATATGATCCGTGCATCCTATCTTTACTCTTTCAAAATTCAAGAGTCTATCCTAAATTGAGGTAAATTACATGGCCTTCCAAATACCGTTTCGATTCCTAACATCACTGAAGAGACATTAATTGTCCAAATCCGGATATGGTGTACAAATGTTTGCACCTCATGTTTGCAGTATACCATCTTTTCCGCAAGTTTGTTGTTTTCTGTTCGGTAATAAATTAATAATAAGATCTATTATGATACATCTTGTGATCCGTTGATTTGGCAATCGCCAATGGCAGTCAGCAGGGTTTAAGAACATCAGTTGTTCGACCTGCTAGTCAAATGCGTTTTGTTAACATATGCTTTTTCACTCATTTGGTCTTTTGGAAAATGTTGTTTGTGCTGTATTTAGACTCCTCTACCAAGACATTTGTTTTGCATGCACACGTATAAAAAAATTGCGGTTTTAATCCAACGCAATCATAGGTTTGAACGTTGTTTTCAATTTTGACTTGTTTATATTTTTTCGTTTGGGCTTGTATTATATTTGTGTTCGGGTTTATATGATCCGTTCATTCTATTTTGACTCTTTCAAAATTCAAGAGTCTATCCTTAATTGAGGTGAATTACATGGCCTTCCAAATACCGTTTCGATTCTTAACATCACTGAAGAGACATTAATTGTCGAAATCCGGATATGGTGTACAAATGCTTGCACCTCATGTTTGCAGTATACCATCTTTTCTGCAAGTTTGTTGTTTTCTGTTTGGTAATAAATTAATTATAAGATCTATTTTGATACATCTTGTGATCCGTTGATTTGTCAATCGCCAATGGCAGTCAGCAGGGTTTAAGAACATCAGTTGTTCGACCTGCTAGTCAAATGCGTTTTGTTAAAATATGCTTTTTCACTCATTTGGTCTTTTTGAAAATGTTGTTTGTGCTGTATTTAGACTCCTCTACCAAGCAATTTGTTTTGCATGCACACGTATAAAAATTACGGTTGTTATCCAACGCAATCATAGGTTTGAACGTTGTTTTCAATTTTGACTTGTTTATATTTTTTTCGTTTGGGCTTGTATTATATTTGTGTTCGGGTTTATATGATCCGTTCATCCTATTTTGACTCTTTCAAAATTCAAGAGTCTATCCTAAATTGAGGTGAATTATATGGCCTTCAAAATACCGTTTCGATTCCTGACATCACTGAAGAGACATTAATTGTCCAAATCCGGATATGGTGTACAAATGCTTGCACCTCATGTTTGCAGTATACCATCTTTTCCGCAAGTTTGTTGTTTTCTGTTTGGTAATAAATTAATAATAAGATCTATTTTGATACATCTTGTGATCCGTTGATTTGGCAATCGCCAATGGCAGTCAGCAGGGTTTAAGAACATCAGTTGTTCGACCTGCTAGTCAAATGCGTTTTGTTAAAATATGCTTTTTCACTCATTTGGTCTTTTGGAAAATGTTGTTTGTGCTGTATTTAGACCCCTCTACCAAGCAATTTGTTTTGCATGCACATGTATAAAAATTACGGTTTTTATCCAACGCAATCATAGGTTTGAACGTTGTTTTCAGTTTATACTTGTATATATATATATATATATATATATATATATATATATATATGCAATGCTTACGTTTATGCCAATCCGTTTTCTTTTCTGAATAAACACATGTTTTACTGTAAGCATAAACTAAGTGGGGAAGATGAAATCATTCCTTCGAAGATTTTACAGGCACCATCACGGGTTTGCTGACCGTTATGGATTATCTGTTTTACAGATGACGACAGATATGTTCTAATTGTCGAAACCACAACCCCGTCCTCTTCTCCTTCGAAAGTGAACTACCAAATTAGACTGATCACCGGGTTTGCACTTACACAAGCAAAACGACGGGTGCCATATATGGAGTAGAATCAGATTACCCTTACGAAACACCTGCTATCACCCTCGGTTTTTGTTGGCATTTGTGTTGCTCAGTCTTTGTTATCTGTTATGCGTTTTGTGAACCGTTGTTTCTCTTTTACTCGATTTGTCGGTTTTTGCCATGACATGTCAGTTTTCTTTTTCGACTTATGGGTTTGAAAGTCTCTTTGGTATCTTTTTCATCTCCCTTTGACATGTATTAGTAATAGATAAAGCAGTAATACGGATTGAATGATTAAAAGTTTCATATAAAACAGATATACAGGGTCAGAGAAAAACGACAGAGTATGCTTCTTGATTCATTTTCTTTTTACTTTTTTTGTAGCCAACAAAAAAGATACTTTGAGAAATTTTAATATGAATTTTACTTTTGAGGTAACAGCCTAAACAAAATTTCTAATCTAAAGCATGGTATGCGCTGATAATGTAAATGTTCCAGTCAGTTTAGGAATACAGAACAAACCAATAAAGTTACTCGTACCAGGCTTTTTATCTTTTTCGTGTGCTATTGTATAATTGTTGTGAACAGGAATTTGATTTTAGTATTTTTTATCTCTCGACTTGCAATTTAATATAAAATGTCCTTCATTATCAGGGAACAAATATTTGTAAAACATATAATAATGTATATAATATAATATAGGGTTCGTTTCTTCATAGAGGCATGAAATTGGTACGCACAATTTTAAAAATATGAAAAAGGAACGATTAAAAATGACACTATCACCAATAACAATACACCTTTTCATATCTGATTAATGTATTGAATAACATGGTTTAAATATGTATTCGTCGTTGCCATCGTACTATTAACAGATAGACAATTGTTAAACGGTTCGATATGTTTATTGTTCTTGACACCTGTCCATAAACTACAGTATTTAACAACTCTTTAGCTGACTATTGTTTTGCACGATTTGTTTTAAATGTAAGAGATTATTTTTGTACAAAGTAACAAAGTCGGTCAAATTTAAAATACAAAAGATGCGTTCAAGTAGTACATATGTATTGAAATGACATTTAAATATATTGCTATTCATTTTATTCAAATCTGTAATGATCTTTGGACCGTTGTTAGTTTTAAACTTATAAAAATACAACCCCAAAGATACATGTGCAAGTCTTAATATGTAAAACGTGCATTGTTTGTGTTATTGTTGAATTATCCTAAACAGAGAGATTTAAATTTTCTAGCATGAGTTCTCTTCTTACTTAATAATATATGAAAATAATGGCAATGCATAGTGTTTGTTTGTTCACATTAGTATAAAAAGTCGTTAAAGATATCCGTTTTTTTTTAATTTTAAACCACAGGACGAACGTTTTGTCCACATAAGACTCTTCAGTCGCACTTATATCCAAACAGTTAGAAGGCAAATTTAAAAAAAAACAAAGTTGCATTGGAAAACAGCAATTCCGAAAAATTTAACCAAATACAATAAAGAATATCTATGCCTATGGTTGAAGAACCTAAGCATTTTATCAGAATTCAAAATTTCTTTAACAGTAGATTTAAAGAAATTACCATATCAGTGTATTATATCATATACTGAAGCTGTGCTATATGCGCAGTCAAGTTGCATTGACCGTATATTCATTTGTAATATACAGTCACTGACCGTATATCGCCTTGTTTATGACGCTTACAATGCGTTTCCGTAGAGTTTTATCTATGACGTCAACAAACAATACAGGTTTGCGGAAATTTTTAAATCGTCCGCTTCAAATAAAAACAAATGATTGTTTGACCCTAAATATTTCATTTGGAACAGGAGTTGCAGTATATAAAGAATAAATATACATTGTCTCGAAATATAATTTGTATTTGTTCTCGGCTGAAAACAGGATAACACTTTCTACCTGTTTCTAAGCCTTGTACAAATAAAATGTATATTTCGAGACAATGTATGATTATTCTATATGTCAACACATGGTTGGTGAAACGTTCGTATAAAAACGTGAATCGACTTCGATTGCTAAAAAGTCAAACATATAAAAAAAAACAGAAGGACAAACATATGAAGATTATTAAAGGTCTCCGTACAGCTTTCGACACTGAATAACACGCATACCGTTTAGAATTTTATCCCAAAAAAAAAACGGAATGAAAAGAAGTGACAATATTCATTAAAAGTAAACCAATGACATGAATAAGACTATGAACATAAAAAATTATAACAGACTGCAATCAACCACAACCGTAATGTGATTCATTGTCAGGCCAGGCAGAACGTGATATATTAAAAACTCCGAATTGTAAGTTTAGAAGTGGTATTATATATTGCATCATCAAAGGTTTGGCTAGCCATAAAACCAGGTTCAACCACCATTTTTTTCTTAAAATGTCCTGTACCAAGTCAGGAATATGGCAGTTGTTATCATATAGTTCGTTTCTATGTATGTTGGCGTTTGATTTTGTTGCACTTCAGTGTTTCTGTTGTTCTGTTGTTTTCCTCTTATAGTTGATGTGTTTCCCTCGGTTTTAGTTTGTAACCCGGATTTGCTTTCTCTCAATCGATATATGACTTTTGAACAGCGGCATACTCTGTTGCCTTTATTTATCTTATTTTCTGGATGCTTTTTCGTATTCTTGTTCTTCCACACTTTTGATTCTAGTGAACATGATAAGGACTATGCCAGAAGTGTATGTGTGCTCACGGTAATTTATAGTATTATTTGGTCATCTTTTTCCAAACGTTATTGATATCGTTTTGATGTAAGCATATATAAACTGACAAGTTATAGACAAACAGGTACAACATTTTTTACTTTCTTAAATATACAACCAGTTGTATAAGTTGAAGCGGCTTATTTCTAATGTAGTCTGATTTCCAATATATCAATTTACATATTTGGTTTTGGAATTGAAATGATCATTTCATTTTACAACGGTATGAATTGACAACGATTATATTTTAAAATATAACAAATAAATATGTTTCCTGTAAAAAATGACAATAATGGTTATTCATAGGATTAGTTATAATGTTTACCTTTTATTTTATGAAAATTCATTCATGATCCGGAAAAGTTAGTCTTTCTCCGTATACCAACGGGATTTAAATGTACGTTGCCAGAACTACATGCAAACAAAACAAATCAAAATGGCTCAGGCTGCTTCTAAAACGTGTGAGATTTGTGTTTCTGGACCTGGACATAACTATTGTGAACAGTGTGACCAGGTGTTTTGTGATGGATGTAAAATATCACATCTACGTACAAAGATAAGCAAAAAGCATACATTTCTAAGTGGCCCAAATATAAACCCGGAAGTTAAACAATATTGTAAAGAACATGATGAAAACTTTATATATTACTGCATGGAATGTAATACGCCGATATGCAAAATATGTGTGATTAAAAAACACAAATCACATGATTTCGCTGAAATCAAGGAATCAACTGAAAGGATCAAAGATGAGGTAAAAAAGGTAATAGACACGAAGATGAGAAACCTACAGTCAAAGATAGCAGATATTGACCAAGGCTCAAATCAATATCAAGCTGATGTTAATGGTGCCATCCACTCTATAAGAGAAGAAGGGAGACACCTAAAAGAGCTGATTGATAAGAAAGTTGAAAGTCTGGTTAAATCGGTGAAAGAGAAACAAACAAAGAATCTTCAAACTTCACAGTCCAGTGCTAATGAGATTAAAACTGCTTTGAATAAGGCAAAGGAACAGCTGAAGATCTATCATGACACACAAGGGATAAAAGATACCACGAAATTGTTACAAAAACTAAAACAAATAAAGTCACAAATCGATCTAATAGAAGAAATACAGGTTCCCATCATGCCATCAGTCAAATATGCTAGAAAGAAAGTAGCAGAGTGTGAAATTCAGAAACTATTTGGTGAATTAACAATTGGGTAAGTTTGTTCTTAGCTTTTTGATGTCATTGAAGTGCTTTGAAAACTGTTGTTGGTTTTTTTCCTTTTTTTTGGCACAGCGTTGTCATTCTATCTTCGACTATTAAGGATTGAATGAGAGTGGCATCTTCCGCCTCTTTATTCCAGTTATATTCTATATGTGTATATCAGATTATCAAGTTTCAATTTTAAATGGAACTTGTGATAATGCAATGCTTAGTTATATCTCAATATTGAAGTGTTGATTAACACTTTTAGCATATCAATATTTGTACAGTTAATTATTTTATACTTTGACAGTATAGAACCAACGGTATATGATTAGAGTACAAAAAATGACAACATTGAAATAATGAATTGATTTTAATCTGATACACAAAATATCAAATACGTCCAATATTTTTTTTTTTATTTTGTTAAGATTGTTCTTTTAATTACTGAAAATGTACAAGAATAGAAGTGTTTAATCATGCATTCATAGATATCTATAATTTGATCAAATCTTCTGAAATACATGTACAATAAAACATGAACCAATGATACTGTGAATTTTAGAAAAGATTAAAGGACTATTAGAAACAAGGCTCTACTGTGAAATAAATTCATAAGAAATTGGCCCTTCATCTTGTTTGAACTTTTAAGTCAGTAGTGATGTATATCGTTGATGTATATTCAAAGAGTTTTGTCAATAATGGAACTATAAACAGCTGTCATACAAATGGGAGGTTTAGCTAGTTTTAAAACAAGGATTAACCCACCCAGGCGTAAACCCAGTTGAAATTAATCTAAAGAAATAGAGAGAAGGTAAAAAAAGGCCAAGTTGGTAAATTTGAATTGTTTGCATCTGTTTCTATGGGCTTTAAAAGTTTAATGAATGTGCATAATTTAGAATTTTATGCATCTTATATATGTGTTTTTACTTACATTTATGTACATTACAGCTTAGAGATATTTGTAAACTTTTGAATTATATACACATTTTCACAAAACAATCGGTTTGGGGTAGGTGCAAATACATGTTGATCTTTTTTGTGCATAAGCATAAATTCCGTAAAAAAAATCTAAAGAAAGTTAATAGATTGATCTTTTAAAATCATTTTATTTGCATTTCTGCCCCTAGCAACATTTTTATTTAAATCCCCAAAATGGGCAATAATTTCACCGAAAAGAGAAAGTCAGTACACCTTTTTATGTTCCGGCGTGTTTGGGTTGACAATTCTGTCATGAAAACGTATAAAAGAAATATATTTGATACATCATCTCGCTTCAGATTCTATCATTTTTATATATTTAGACTATAAGTTGATATAATAACATTAAACATTTACAGTACTAAGAAATGAAATATGTGAGTAAAGTGAAATCTCTCTCTAATGAGTCATAACAACAAAGTAAATGTGTTCGATTTACACATGTTTACTAATAATACTTGACGACAGACTTTACAAGTGGATCTTAAAAATGCATAACTTCATTTTTTGTATATGTTATCTGGGTTCATGAGTCCTCAACCTCTGAATTTTTTTTAGTCTGCCCTTCCATGAAATATTTAATTGGATTTTTTAAAAATATATTTGAACTTTCGAAAATTCCGCCTGACAACCGATCAGGCAACAGTTTTAAGTGGACCAAAAGCATACAAGTAAATTAAATGATGCTCAATAGAAAGTAGATACATTTGTCTTTTACGATACAACTGGCATATAAGGATCTTAATGATGATATGTTGATAAATTAATCAGTTTTCAAGAGCTAAATTGACAGCGTGTCATCACTACAATGGATTCCATTTTTACGATTATAAAAATTTGGTGTCGTAATGGGGAAATAATTTTGACGAAGTAAAATCCTGACTGACCATTTTCTTCGGAACATGCCAGTGTCAAGTCAGGAATATGGCAGTTGTTTTTCAATTATTCCGTAGATTGAGAACGTTTGATTTCGTAAGTTTTTATAGACTGCCCTCTTGTTGAATATACCTTGAAGTTCGGTAGTTTTATTATACTTTTTCTTGTTATCTTTTTGAATCAGACAAGTCTGGTAATCTAAATTTATTTCATGATAAAGAAAGCAAAATATTTCTTTAATTTTAGTAACCATCAAGTACAATCCAGGATCCGCCTAGTACACATCTGGATATCCCATATTTTTACCAGCAAATGGCGGAATTCGGATGTGTATTAGATTTTAATTAGTTTAAATCAGAATTGCAATTTCTACTTGTAGATATTTGAATTTCGATTTGTACTAGGAAGTTTCTGAATCCTCTTGATTTCCGTTTGTACTGTAACATATACCTCTCAAGACTACATATTCACAACTGCGTACTATTCTATTGTATTATAATTTCAATTAAATTAATGGTTTTTCTAGCAGGAATTTAACATTAGACTTGGGAATTCCTTCCAAGAAGACAGCAACCAAATAAAAACCAAACAGTTTTTGATAAAAGACTTGTATGCACCTATTGTTTAATCATAAAGTGTTAGTACAAGCTTAATATTACAATTACTTCCAACATACTATCATATCCGTTATAAGAAAACAAAAACCGCCAGGATATACATAACTTAGCAGCCACTTAGAAGGTTTCCGCTATGTCAAGTTATTATTTTTTTTCATAATGCCCTTTTTGTGCGTGGATTACCGAAAAAGCAACAAAAACCATGCAGTACTTTTAATACAAATTTGGAAACTTTTTTGCGTTATTTCGGTTTATCTGAAAACAGCTTGTTCATTCGGCATGTTGAAAATTAAGTAATACAGTGTTTTATTTCATTGTACGATAAGTTACAACTTTGACGCGCACATAAAATAAAATGATCATTGTCGACAAGATAATTTATTTTTCAGAGAAACTGTCAAAAGAGAAGAAAACCCGAAAACTCAGAAGAACGCCAGGTTTGTATTTAGAATAGACATTAAACGTATTTGTTAATATTGTTCTCATTGCTATTTTCAACTCTTATGTGGATTGACTTTTCCTACAATGACAAAATCAATCGAAACACTTAGATTTGTCTTCCTAAGTCAGTTTTGACGTAAATGTGAAGGGAATGTTTAGTTGTACTGTTCTTCATGTCCGTGATTCATTGGATTTGTTTCAAGTGAATTGTATTCCACTGAAACTAATGAGTATGATATCAACAAAATACGCGTATAATATACTAAGTTGCGCACGTACTAAATACTTTCTCTCTCTCTTGTATACATGATATTTTTATGTGACATAAACTTGATTCTAGTCGGTGGTTTGGCATTACCGTGAAACGTTTTGAATTATGAATGAGTTTTCTTTTTGACCGTAATCAACTGTTTTAATTAACTTTAGCGAAGTTGGTTTGAAATATATGGATGCTTTACTTTTGATTTACTGGACTGATTTGTTGCTTGACATACATAAACAGTGTATATATATATATGTATATTATCGTTCAGTTTGCCCAGGAAAGAGCTGGAAGACATCAAATGTTTTTTTTTTGAAAGATTAGGCAATAATTGTGGCGAAAAATATTGACATGAGGGTAAAATGTCCGAGTAAAGTTAAAGGTGATTAATCAATTAAAATGTTACGTTTAAATGTTGATCGAACCGATGCTATAAAAGTTAGACATCTCCCTTGAAATATTCTAACCGTGTCATATGATATTTTATAGAGTTACAACAACAGCTAAACAATACAGATACAGATGCGTCATATGCGAGTAAGTGTTATGTTATGTAGTTTTCTGTCGGACTAGTTTCTAAGACCAAGTTTTGTTACATCAGTAAGTAAGATATTCAAATTTGAAAAACAGATATATGTAAAGCACAAAACAAGTAATTGCTTCAAACAAAATTTGTTTTATGTTTAAGAAAGTGATGGCACACATCTGCGACTATAAATATATGATCTATATTGTCAATGACAAACACATTGATTCAACTTTCTTTAAATCAACGTCTCATTCTTTGGCAGTAGTTTATCGTTTTACTCCGACATTTACGCAGTTTAGTTGATATAAGATACAAACTTACTATAATATACGTATTTTATATTTGTGTATTTTCTGATAGCGGACTGTTCTTTAGTCAAAAACTATTCCACCATGTTAAGGTTGACGAAATAGTGAATTTATAAATAAATAGTGTATGAAACTTATTTTTATTTTATCTTTTGACAGTATTGTTGTGGTTTTATCATCCTAATTTAATATGTCGAACACTGTAAATATGTAACCTCAAGTATGTGGGATATAAAACATACTATAAGTCAGGTACCCGGTCAGTGGTTGTTATATTTCAGATTATTATTCCAATTATTTTGTTTTAACAATTTTGGGTTCCTATTGATACTAGTAGTTTCTTCAACTTCTTCAAAACCTCGTGACCACCTAAAGCTTATCATTTTATAATTCGATACTTGTCTGTCGCATCGTATGGCGTTGACATATATCAATTGGTACGTTCGTGTATGTACTCGTTTGAAGGTATCCATTAGCTGGGGCGTGCTCCATACACCAAAACTGTTCAAATTGTGTTATAAAATCTACACTGCAGAAGTTTTACGATCACCATCACGAATGGGTTGATCGATTTGATATGTCTGTGTCTCAATTCAATAGCGCCATGTTATCGCAGTCTTAGATCCTTGGATACCAGAATAGTCGTCTAATTTGTAATTTTACCGATTGTGACATATTTACTGAGTGTGGACTCGCATGACGGGTGATGCACGCATAGCAGGAGACAGGTACTACGTCGACGCTTCATTATGGAGGTAATGTGATAACCTTTTTGTTACTTTAGTTTGTCTTCCTAATCGATTAAAGGGATTTTGACATCGGTAAACTACTGCTTCATAATTAGAAGGACGAACACATCTGAGGATCTAGATGTCTGTTGGTTATTGGTGTTGTTTGGTTGCCGTTTAAGAAGTTTTCTTAACCCATTAAATTCCCTTTGACCTTTTTTATTGTCCAGTTTGTTTGCTTCTATTTTGTATTATGACAATAATTACACAAATATTAATATAAACGTTTAAAGGCTTAAATCAGAATAATTGAACGACAAGGGAGTTTTATCTTCCTAACTTAAACTATGATGGATAGTTTTTTCATTGGCAATCAAATGTAATACAACAAAAATATCGAACTCAAAGGAAAATTCAAAATGGAAAGTCCCTTACCAAATGACAAAATCAAGAGCTCAAACGCATAAAATAAAAGGAAAACAACTGTCATATTCCTGACATGGTACATGTATTTCCTTTTGTAGAAAATGATGGATTAAACCCGGTTTTAAAGCTAGCTAGACGTTTCACTTGTATGACAGTAGAATGAAACTCCTTATGTTGACAACAATGTGTAAGCAAAACAAACATACATAATAGGTTAAAAATATCAACAATTGGGGTACAGCAGTCAACATTGTGTTTTAATCTTAAACACTATAAAAGCACACAACTATGTGAACAGAGAAAAACAAAATGGCATATAGACGTAGCACATAAGCAAAAATGAAAGACAAGAATCAAACCACATTCCCTCATTTTATATGATGGTTGAGGCTTGCTTTTCTAACTTTGGCGATACATCTCGTCTCACTACAATATTTTTGAACCTGATTATTCTACACATGCATTAAACTTTGAAATGTGTGCATTAAAACATGTTTTGTGTAGACTCAAAGGATATTAAAGTTTGTTTCTTCTTCCATTATTCGTTATTGATTACAAAGTTGTTTTTGATGTTTTCCACGTGGGCTACTAGTATATTTTTTAATTCTAAATTTGACGTGAGTTTTAAAACTTGTTTAATAACATTAACGGTACTAATTTTACTACCCTTCTAGCGCATTTAGACAATAAATGTCTCTTCATTAATGTTCGCGGCCAAAATATTCTCAAAACAAAAATTTATTCAAAAATTAAAAAGCTGATAAAACCAAAACGGACAAAACGTATAGCCAAAACCGGACAAGGACCAGAGCTTTGCATGAGGAGAAAACTTATTATTATTTATTCATTTACCGAGGGGAAGAATGTAATATCCTAATGTTTTGTAGTTTAACACTTTTACACGGAACTTGTTATGGACACAACAAATGGTACAATTACACCGCTAGCATAATAAAGACCATAATTATATATAAAGGAAATAAGTTTGTCTATTATATTGTCTTACATTCCTTTTTATGTGTATTGATTTAAACAAATGTTAACTTTAATTGATCAAAATTTCAGGACAGAAATAATTTCTGAGTAAGTACCCATATTCATATAATTCAAAGAAATAAATTTACTGAACAAATATTTTTATTGCATGGATACTGATGTGTAATATATTCATTTGGACACGATAACATTATTAACAACGGTACATAATATATATTTGAGTATCTGACATAAACTTAAAGTTTGTATGTCAGAAAATGGGCAAAACGCAGCAAGGTGAGCCAGAACTGAACACTTTTATTATCTGTATAGATTAAGTTTACAATGTACAATGAGGTTACGGGTTTATGACCCTTTTAGAAAACCCAAGGTTGTGGATGCTTGATCATTCTTTACCGACAAATATGTTGTTGTTGCAGCAGACAAATCATCCAACAAGATTGGTTTATATGCAAAGCCATTATAAAGAAGTTGGATATCACACCAACATTGGGAATCCCACATATACATGTACCCCTACATCATTCACGAAAGAAGATATTTAGTAATATCACAAATCCGTCCTTCTCTTCTTTGGTATTAACATTAAAAAAATGACGAAAATCTTCCAACTTTACACTGGATACGTAAACTTCACAATACACCTTAAAACAAATTATTTTCAAAAACACCAAACTCTAAGGTAAATCAAAAAAAGGGGGAAGTCCATAAACACTGAAAACTCCAAAGAACGATTAATAGCCGGTTTGTCAAGATTTTCAAGTAAACATATTTCTAAAGTTCTTACCACCATTCTTTTCTCAGTAAAAGATGGCCTTTAGAAATATTGTAATGAGGTATATTCAATCAGCGGTGTCAATCAGATGTGGATTCTTGAAAATTCTAAGGATCGATTATAAAATCTACAATCACAATGTTTACAATTTTGCAGTAATATTAAAACATTTGATTGTTGTACGCGTGACAATACTATTCCCCATGATTAATAATATATCAAATACTTCAAATCATTAAACACATCTTTTCTACAAAAATTGGAAATGTAAATAAAAATTCTTTGCTATTCATTATGAAATATCTTACTTTGGGAAGAACTACAGTGATTCCACAGGATATACACCGAAGATGAAATTATCAAAATGCTGGACTGTTTTTTTTAAATTCAACATATTTGTTGATTTGGTGGAATGATATGTCAGCAGACAGTCGGTATTCCAATGGGCATTTACTGTGCACCATTTCTGGCCGACTTGTTTTGTACCGATATGAAGAAGACTTCATACAGAACCTTTCCAAAGAAAAAAAGAAAAATCATCTTGCAAATTTTTCAATTCACTTTCAGATATATTTATTATGTTCTTTCACTCAAAAACCCACATTTTATAAAGCGCTTACATCTCATATATCCCAGTGAAGTCGAAATTGAAGATACTATCAAAATTAGAACGTGTGCTCCATATCTTAATCTTTTCCTCGATATTGACACAGATATACGACTTCAAACTAGAATCTATGACAACGTAATGATTTCAACTTTCCAATTGTCGACGTCCTATTTCTCAACAGTAATATACCCTCTGCTCCATCGTATGGCGTTTACATATCGCAGTTGATATGATACGCTCATGCATGTTCATACTATACAGGGATGTGCTCATTACACAATCACTGATCCAACAGAGTAATGAGGCAGAACCATTTACGGTCACCATCACGAATCGGTTGACAATGACGATCTGTCGGTGTTACAACTTAGAAGCGACAGGTTTTTGTGGACTTAGATGTCTAGATATCCGTATAGTCTGATCTGTAACTTAGTGTCGACAGGTTTTTGTGGACTTAGATGTCTAGATATCCCTATATTCTGATCTGTAACTTCGTAGCGACAGGTTTTTGTGGACTTAGATGTCTAGGTATCCGTATAGTCTGATCTGTAACTTGTTGTTGACTTAGATGTCTAGATATCCGTATAGTCTGATCTGTAACTTAGTAGCGACAGGTTTTTGTGGACTTAGATGTCTAGATATCCGTATAGTCTGATCTGTAACTTAGTAGCGACAGGTTTTTGTGGACTTAGATGTCTAGATATCCGTATAGTCTGATCTGTAACTTGTTGTGGACTTAGATGTCTAGATATCCGTATAGTCTGATCTGTAACTTGTTGTGGACTTAGATGTCTAGATATCCGTATAGTCTGATCTGTAACTTGTTGTGGACTTAGATGTCTAGATATCCGTATAGTCTGATCTGTAACTTTACCGATTGTGTCCTATTCCCCATTGTGACATTTTTACTGAGCATGAATTCGCATGGCGGGTGAAGCATGCAAAGCAGGAGAAATTTATCCTGTCTACCAAACCGATGTTGCTCTTTTGGGAGTTCATGCTGTTCCCTTGGTTTCTGTTTGTTACCTTGATTTGTCCCTTCCTAATCGATTTACGAGATTTGAATATCATCAAACTACTGTCGCCTTGATTTATCACAGCTCAAACGGACACAACAACTCCGAATGAAATACGTTCCCCTATGATCACCTTAAAAGATGTCATTGAAACGACCTGTGTGCAGTCTTCAGATTCCTTTTTGTACTGCAAAAATAGACAAGGCCCTGTTCTGTTCAACTTTCAGGTATATTAAATTTCAGCGACATTTTGAAGCATAGTTTTAAATGTAATCGTAAAAACTGTAAACTTATGATCAACGCATTACTGATACCTATCATCAAAGTAACGTGACCACCAAATGTAACTATACACGTAGTCATGGGAATCTCTATTAAACTGCTTCTTATACTGTGTACGATATTACCTGAGCTTTGTAGAATGATCAAGTCGGTGAAACACGACAAAAAACTTCACGAAAGAATGATTGATCACCAGTCTAATGTTTACGATCACGAGAACACGGACACAACAACTCCGAATGAAATACGTTTCCCTATGATCACCTTAAAAGATGTCATGGAAACGACCTTTGTGCAGTCTTCAGATTCCTGAAAACAACTGTAAACTTGTGATCATCTCATTACTGATACCTATCATCAATGTAACGTGACCACCAAATGTGACAATACACGTAGTCATGAGAATCTGTATTAAACTGCTTCTAATACTGTGTACGATATTACCTGTACTCTTTGTGAACTGATCGATGATCACGACAAAAGACTTAACCAAAGAATGATTGATCACTAGTCTAATGTTAATGATGCTGAGAACAATACATTTCTCTATAAACAATTTCACCAGCCTCACTATTCCCATTGTTTCTATGAAAGTCAAGATTTAGAGAATATCTGTCATTCAAAAAATTATTCCATATTGAGTTCACCATATCGCTTACAAATAGAAGATTTTTGGATTCGCTAATTGGGAACAGCTATCCCTTATGGCTGTAACTACAGAAATTGATGGTGTAGGTATTTTGTCTAGTCTTAGGTTGAGTCATATCAACAAATTGAAAATGTTTAACACCTCTGTTCGATGATATATGAACACATTCACTACCTACTGTTCACATCATGTCTATAGATAGTTTGTTATCCTCTGTTAATAAACCTTTAGGAATTCTTTATATTCGAAATTAATTTTTTTCCGTACCTTTATCTCAGCTCAATTCACTATTCCATGAGGCCCAATACACTTCCGTGATTTATACGAATTATTTAAAGTATATATTGGTTGCAATAATTATTGATATTAATAACCATAGGCTGTTCAAACCAGCAATAACTACTTCCAAACATGATCATGATGATAAAAACAGTACTAATTAGTAGTTATAATATAAAAAATTGTTGATAAGGGTTTGGATGCCATCAATATATACTATCAATATTAGCAATATTTTCCACCACAAATATGTGCAGAAAACAACACCTGATTTCTTCACAGATCAAAAAACGCCTGTCATTTCATATATGTAGAACAAAACTATTGCTTCTACCATTTTTAACCAAAAGAGGGCAATAGAGTCCTTTGCTTCCAGGTTTGTAAGATCAAACCTTCTGATTGCATTTGTGCATTATTGCCAAGCAAATATAGTTCCGATGGTAATGTTATTACTAGAGGCTTTTGGATTGTAAAGAGTAAACAAGTTAGATCGTCGCTAGCCAAAGGATCAAGAATTCCAAAGCCCATTATCTGGAAGTACAACTTCATGTTAATTATGGATGCAGGTAATGACTACGCAGAAAATGGGTAAAATGCAAGCCAGATAAGCCGAAACTAAATAATTTATCTGAAAGGATCAATGCTATTAGTTCATAAATTCAGAAGTGCATTCAAAATTTATGATGTTTAATGATTTTGAAAAAAGATGCTTCACCAAATAAATTCCGTTTACTCTATTTCAATAGTGGCCAGTCGCTGCTATATATCTGTGGTTAACACTACATCATGTAATGCTAAACATTCACTGAAAAACATGGTATACAGTACAAGCGGAACTTAAAAACGTATGTCAGCATGAAATAAAAACTTAACAGAAAGTTACTAATTTTAATATTTTTAACATTTTGTTGATCTTTAAACACGGAAGACGTTTTTCAGAGTAAGATTGTCTAAAGCGAGACAAAGTATAACCATTGCGCTAATAGTGGAATGACATTAACCATAAAATTAAATTTTTATTGTACTCACCTTACAAACAGCTTGGTTATATATCAATCAAAATTCATCATCTGTACATTCCGTTTTTTTGACCAGTGGTAAACAATTCGTACGGTGCAATTCCCGTCAAATCATCATCAAAGGTCAAGGACGTACACTTTCACATTTTTTCAAAATACCAACATTATTGCATATTCTGCCTTCTCTATAATAATACTGTATGCAAATAAGGAAGAGAAGAGATTAACAGTCGCTTATCAAGCAAAAAATTAGATTTTTAAAGCGCGTTTTTAATAGACAGCACCTGTTTCCAGATTTTTATTCAAATTTTAGCTATAAGTAGATAAAATGCCATTTTCGGGTTTTTGATGTCCAAAAATCAAATAAATGTCTAATGTTTAGGTCAAGGAAGTTTTTTTTGTCCGGCCTTGACCTTTGATCATGATGTGACGGAAATTACACCGTTCAATTTTTTCACGACCAGGCAAAACGGAATGTACAGATGATGAGTTTTTCGAATGATATATAATACAGCCGTGTGTTAGGTGGCTGCATGTAAGTCCTTAACTTAGAGGCTTTTTGAAAAAAATGTCACTCTCCTATAACTGATTTGCTAAAAAAAATCAATGGTCTAAGTTAATCCGGATTTATTTGCTGGTTGGAAAATCATTTCCGTCTTCCAACGTCATATATTCGTTGACATGAAATCCTGATTGTATTACACTCTGATCAGAGACTAGTCGTAGATGATTTTGCGCACTGGAAAATGTATTTGTAGATCAGTTTGAAAATGAAATTATTAGGTACTAATATTCTTCGTTTTGTGTATTTTTTTTAATTTACCCGCGAAGCATAATCCACTACTGAAATGGGCAATGTGGTCTGTAAATGACAAAAAAATCGTTGAAAGTATATTTTATTATGAAGTCATGGCCTTTTTTTTTTTTTGTCATACTTGTAATGTTCTGAAGGTAAATAAATTCCGGAGGTAAATTCGTGCTACCTTAATATGGCCCAATATTACGGATTTCCGACCCGTACGTGTACATTTAGATGGCCTAACCTAAATTGACATAACAACGAAAACGAGGCAGGTGTCCTGATGTTTAACAATACATTTATGGTTAACATGATCACTCTGATTGAATTTCTGTATAATCAACGTCTCATTCTTTTTATTTGTCTGTATCGGCTAATGACATTGACACATGTTAGTTTAATAATATACAGGAAAGTTTTATTTTAAGACGATATTAACACATAGAGGAGTACTGTAGAGTCAAAACCAATTCCATTATGATTAGGAGGATAAAATACTGAAATTAATGACTTAAAACTTACTTTGTTTCAACTGTTAAAATTACTGTAACAGTTGTGAAAATAATAGACTACGTTAATATTTCGGAACTTATTTTAGCAAATCTTTAACCTCGAATATGTGAGACATAATAGAGATAGTTAAATGGTAAGTTGAAATCATTCCTTCGTAAGTTTTAAGGACGCCTTCACGAGTTGGATGACCGTTATGTTGTGTCATCTGCTCTAATTTTTTTCTGTTTGTCTTTTTATTTTTGGCCATGGCGTTGTCAGTTTGTTTTCGATCTATGAGTGTGACTGTCCCTCTGGTATCTTTCGTCCCTCTTTTTATGGCATATCCGTTTCGCAGGTGATAGCGAATATGTTCCTAATGTCGTAACTACAATCTCTTCTTCTTTTCGTGAATGTGACCTACCAAATAAGACTTACTACCGGGTTTGTATTAACATAAGCTACACGACGGTTGTCATATGTGGAACAGGATCTGCTTACTCTTCCGGAGCATCTGAGACTACCCTCAGTTTATGGTGGGGTTCGTGTTGCTCAGTCTTTAGTTTTCTACGTTGTGGTCTGTGTACTATTGTTTGTTGGTCTTTTTTTATTTTTAGCCATGGCGTTGTCAGTTTATTTTGGACTTTGAGTTTGAATGTCCCTCTGGTATCTTTCGACTTTCTTTTAATCCTAAATGTTCTAAGTCAGGAACCTGGGTAGTGGTTGCATTATGTTTTCTATAATATTATTTTGTTTTTTACAAATTCTCTGTGAATATACATACTGTAGTCTATTGAAATTATTCACAACCTTTTCTTATTTACGCTGGACTATTACGAACTTTTTATATAGATACATGGTCTATTTAGGAGGAATACATGTCGGGATCTAGATGCCTGTTGGTTTTTCGTGTCGTTTGATTGCAGTTCAGATACACTCACCCATAACATCCCTATAGACAATTAGTTGTTGTACTTACATATTTGTTAGGCATAATGTTATGTGAACTTTTAAACGCTAAAGACGGGATAGGGGTGAACGACTAAGTACTGCATATTTCATTAAAGTTTTCAAAACCCGGTTATTTGACTTATGCATTAATATTTGGTATGTGTACATATGATATGAATTGTATTTGTATGGCGTTTATACTAGTATGTCTGTATCTTGTTTAATTTTTCTTCATAAATTACAATATATATTCACTTGTAAACGATAATGCAATCGTTAACAACTATGAAAAATGTACTATCTAAGTATCTGTCATAAACACAAATATATTAATTTTTCTTATAGTGGAAACAATGACTGCCAACAAATCACTCAGACTTGAGAGAGAAAGGAGTCATAGGACCGAACATAGTTCACAAGATGTAGTTTATCATTTATTACAAAAGATATAGTCCATTTTACTCATAGTTGATATATGTCTGTGGCAAATACTTTAGCATATTTATTTAATTTTGTTCCTTGTGTCTTAATATTTCATGATATTGTGCAGTTGGTATTATTATTTTGTTATTGTTCTTTTTTCAGAGAAGCGCCTTCTATGTAAGTATAAGTATCATATTGTTATAAAAGTTAGATAATATCTGAAATAAGACAAATGTCAACAATTCAACATTGAGTTCATAAGTGAGTTCCACCCATGTTAGATGATAAATGTCACAGTCTGAAACCTTCACCTACTTGTGTATAATGGGAAACCATTCCCTGGTGTAAACGAACTGTGGTGCACCAAGATAAGAGAAACATTTTTTTATACAACTGATAAAAGGTTCCACTAGAAATATTGGTGTTTTACCTCTTGTAAACAAAGTCTTAAGAGGACACGTGAATGTGACCTACCAAATAAGACTTACTACCGGGTTTGTATTAACATAAGCTACACGACGGTTGTCATATGTGGAACAGGATCTGCTTACTCTTCCGGAGCATCTGAGACTACCCCCAGTTTATGGTGGGGTTCGTGTTGCTCAGTCTTTAGTTTTCTACGTTGTGTTCTGTGTACTATTGTTTGTTGGTCTTTTTTTATTTTTAGCCATGGCGTTGTCAGTTTATTTTGGACTTTGAGTTTGAATGTCCCTCTGTTATCTTTCGACTTTCTTTTAATCCTACATGTTCTAAGTCAGGAACCTGGGTAGTGATTGCATTATGTTTTCTATAATATTATTTTGTTGTTTACAAATTCTCTGTGAATATACATACTGTATTCATATGAAATTATTCACAACCTTTTCTTATTTACGCTGGACTATTACGAACTTTTTATATAGATACATCGTCTATTTAGGAGGAATACATGTCGGGATCTAGATGCCTGTTGGTTTTTCGTGTCGTTTGATTGCAGTTCAGATACACTCACCCATAACATTCCTATAGACAATTAGTTGTTGTACTTACATATTTGTTAGGCATAATGTTATGTGAACTTTTAAACGATAAAGACGGGATAGGGGTGAACGACTAAGTACTGCATATTTCATTAAAGTTTTCAAAACCCGGTTATTTGACTTATGCATTAATATTTGGTATGTGTACATATGATATGAATTGTATTTTTATGGCGTTTATACTAGTATGTCTGTATCTTGTTTAATTTTTCTTCATAAATTACAATATATATTCACTTGTAAACGATAATGCAATCGTTAACAACTATGAAAAATGTACTATCTAAGTATCTGTCATAAACACAAATATATTAATTTTTCTTATAGTGGAAACAATGCCTGCCAACAAATCACTCAGACTTGAGAGAGAAAGGAGTCATAGGACCGAACATAGTTCACAAGATGTAGTTTATCATTTATTACAAAAGATATAGTCCATTTTACTCATAGTTGATATATGTCTGTGGCAAATACTTTAGCATATTTATTTAATTTTGTTCCTTGTGTCTTAATATTTCATGATATTGTGCAGTTGGTATTATTATTTTGTTATTGTTCTTTTTTCAGAGAAGCGCCTTCTATGTAAGTATAAGTATCATATTGTTATAAAAGTTAGATAATATCTGAAATAAGACAAATGTCAACAATTCAACATTGAGTTCATAAGTGAGTTCCACCCATGTTAGATGATAAATGTCACAGTCTGAAACATTCACCTACTTGTGTATAATGGGAAACCATTCCCTGGTGTAAACGAACTGTGGTGCACCAAGATAAGAGAAACATTTTGTTATACAACTGATAAAAGGTTCCACTAGAAATATTGGTGTTTTACCTCTTGTAAACAAAGTCTTAAGAGGACACGTGATCACGTTGTTTTTTGGAAAAGGTCTCACATTACAACAACCCAATGACCATGGATGACAGTTTGTGATCGGTACCATAGAAATTAGGTTGATATCTTGATGGCAAATTTACCCCCCTCCTACCGACCCTAATTGATGTCCTGGTTAATTACGCGGATGAAAGCAAAGACGGTTGCATGACGAAGACCGTGATGGGAATTGTAATACTCGGTATATGAGAATGATTATAAATCCACATTTTTACAATTTTATGGGATTAAAATATCATTAAAAATTCTTACAATCTATAAGAATCAACACTGAAGGGGAAAAAACTACAAGCTGTTTTACCTTTTGATATTTAACATTTTCTTCAAGTCAATTCAAAAGACATGTATAATACAATTTTAAACCTAAGTACAATACCAGTTGTACTTGCAGCTGATCGAAAATTGGAGATTATATCAAATAAAAATGTTGGAGATTGGAAAAAAATACATGATTGTTTAACTAATGTACTAAAAAAAACAAGCTCTGTTCGTTTCAATACCGGAATATTAACCGGGTTTTAGGTACTTATACTTTACTTTTAAAAATGAACCTTGTACAGTGTAATTTATGAACAAGAAACTACAGAACACTTACTGTGGGGCTGCAATATTGTAGCAGACATCTGTCACCATCTGAATGTTTGGATTTATGAAGCAACACATATTAAAATTCCGCTAAATGTGGATATTGTCATTTTTGGCCTCTATGAAAACTATAAACTAAATTTTATTAAAAAATAAAGTCAATTTACTATTAAAGGACTATAATTACAAGTATCTTTATACTAGTGAATATATACTACTTCGTCCATTATTTTTTTTTTTCTGTTATATCGTATCGTATATTTTTTTTCCTTTCATTTGTTTGATTATGTATTAATGCTTGTCAATCCATGAAAAAAAACACACTCTCTTAATTTCTAAAGTATTTTCAAAATGTGCTATTCGAATATCCCCAATATTTCTTCGTGTAGACAGAGGAAACGTGTTGTGTGTAGTTTAGTATAAGGCAGTTCGCAGTTTCAAGTGGAATCTTTTAATTATTGATTGTATTGTCGTTGTTATTTCTAAACGGTTTAGAACTTCTAAATTTAATATTGTGTTTGTGGTTTGTTAGGTGTTCCGCAAAATGTAAGACGTTCGCTTAAAAAATGCCCGTTTGTTCACATATTTATAACCACACAATGATTGGTTTAATTAACCAGACAAATGAGGCTTTGGGTCTTCATGTTTTGTCATAGGAAATGGAGAGCGAAAAGGTTGTTCTATTCACTGAGTAAAGTATTATTAGAAAATAATCTGGAGCAGATTTGCCATTTGCCGACGTTGCACGGACATATTTGTTGACATCAACGTGATTTTTTCTACATATTCTCTCTACAGAGGCATTGCCTCCTTTGTCATAATTTAGAAAACTGCTGACTGAAGAAGGCGAACTTCGATTGAATACAGTTGAATTTATGATTGGAATACGGTTTGTTAAGCCCGTGGACATTCGTGAAGCTGTTATATATATTTTTTTTCATTTATTTGTTTTGTCACTTCTTTTTATTTTCGTCGTTAGTTGCTTTAAGTCGTTAATATAAGAATGTGTCAAAATGATTTGATAAGTCACATGTCATGTCATTGTTGACTTATACATTTTTATTCGTTAGTTGAAACGTATATTGATCAACGTCTAACGGTGAGTTGTGATTGTATCGAAAATATCAAAATCCACCTGTTATTGGTTCACAGGTACATAAGGATATGCTCAATGTTTCGATTTAAAAATAATAACAAAACAGAATGGCCCTTATCAAACCTCACATAGATCACTATTCCACGTCTTTTATTTGATTCAATCAAAATATAGTTTACTGGCATCTCCGTATTTCAAGATGAATGTTGATTCGTGATATTAAAAGAATACCAATGCAATAACATTAACAATACCTGCACAAAATCGATGTCCAACCTGTTAGAGTAAAGTTAACTACACGAATCTTTGTAGATATGAGGCTTATCAACAAAGCTTCTTAACAAAGCAAGAATTGTAACATTACAGACCCAAAATACTACACTTATTTAATCACAACAACTGCATAATTTAAACCAATTATATCTTTTAGATAAAGTGTTATCGTGTTCAAAAATGAGCATGTTAAGGATTTTTATGTAACTATTTGAACGGAAATTCATCAAGTGTAATCTTTCTGGTTTCGTTGTACCTTTGTTTAAATAATAACGTATGATCTCCCGCTATTTCATTTTGAAACCGTCTCATACCATTTTCAGAAAAAAACTTTCCTGTTACATTCATATCATATGTTTGTATCAAAAACAACATGATCCATTAACTGACAACCATTAATAAAGAGGAATATGACAGTTATTTTCTATTCGTTTGATGTGTTTGAGCTTTTGACTGTGCCAATTGTTAGGGGACTTTCCGCTCGGTATTTTTGTTGTTTTACTTTTTATTTAAGTCAAATGTTCTTAAACATATTAAATGAGTATCCTTATCAAACGTTTTCCTTGAAGCGTGAGAGGAAATGTTGCTTAAGTTTGTGTTTCAAATATATTTTTTCGTTCTCTAAATTTTTTATTTATTGTGTTTTTATTTCTTCTTCAGAAATAGCATTAAATGTCCCTTCCATGGTATGTTTACTGTATTTGTATTATCTTATACATTTTACTTGATTGATTACGACAGTTACCGTTTAATAAATTAAATGTGAATGTCTTTCTATTTATTGTATCCGTGGTCTGTAAGTATATATTTTTCATTTTTATTTCTTTAGATATTCGTTGTATAGTTATATCTGTGTTAATATGGACTCCGATTGTAACAAGGTCTTAACAAACATTATTTTGACATTATTATTTGGACCATGATATTAAAACTCAGAACAAGTTACAGTGTCATTTATAAATACTGTTCAATTGGTACATGTACTACTATCAAACATAAAAATAGATGATCAAAATATAATCGTGTAACACAAAGACAACTATAATGGTCTATGTTTAAAATAAATTTAACAATTTGTTTTCAAATTTATTAGAACTACTAACAAAGGTCAACAAGTCATTGTACATGCTGTACATGGTCAGATATGAATGATTTGAAGATATGAAGTCTTGGGGAGACAAAACAGGCGTCTGATATTAAATTAGATTAGTATAATTGATGAGTTTTTCATTACGAACATACCCACCCCTTTCGTCCAATGGAAAACCTTTTGTTCCTTCTATTTTTTATAATACATGGCTTTACATGCACTTTAAAATACTGTACATAAATGACTTGTAGATTAATTATGTGTACTCTGAATAACTGCCTTAACGAAGAGTACAATCTCCTAGGAAAACAGCAAAGGAAAAAAAATCATGGATACACGAGGTTGTCTAATAAATATAAATGACAAGAAGAGAATAGAATTGCTAAAGCATTTACAAATTTAGTTTTGAATATTGCAAACGTTATATATATTACATTGATGGAAGGGAATAAATGAAAAGATGAAAAGGTGAAGGTAAAATAATGCTTAATCTTAAGATGATGCCAGATCCTAGAGTCAATGCTATTTTGATTTAAGATACAATAACTGTTAATATATACAGCAAAGGAAAAAAACAATACATTTATTTTATACATTAATTAATAATAAAAAAACATCTGATGTTTGAACAATCTAACTTTTAATATTCATAAAAAAAAACTGATTTGTGTAGGTTTTCTTAGTAAAGAAATTTGAGATATAATAGTATTAAATTTCATCGAAGCCGACAAATAATCTCCAGCTTTAAACAATGTATCCTTTGTTTGCTCTCCGTTCTATTTTATTCGATCATTACATATGTTTTACGTCCCTATTATTAACCATGTTTATACTTTAAAGTGAACTCATACTAGGCTTTGATTTATTCCAAGGGAAAAGGATGAATGTCTAATGCCACTCAAAAGCACGAATATGTTCAAAATTGGCAAGACAATACTTGGTCATGTTTTATGAACATTTAAAACCATCAGCTACATCTTGGGCTTGACATATTCATATAACATGACCAAGTATTGTCTAACCTTTTTATATCTTTTTTTTATATGAAACATAAAAAGAAAGGAACATGAACAATTAACCAAAAAAACGCAACTTGGCAAACACAATGATTTCTTTACAATCAGGCGATTTTTTCATGAGGATTTTGAAAGGATAGATAAAAGCTTACCTTTATAAATAATGGATATTGATTGGTATATACTCATTTATAACAAGGATACAGCGATAAATGTATAGAAGAAACTATAAAATTCCCTTTTATTCAATGTTTTACTTGTTTATTTACATATGTACATTTGATTTGTTTAAAGAAATAACTGAAAAAAACTTTTAAAATATAATAAATACCTTTGGGTTAAAAGTTATAAATGTGATTTCTTTCTATACTCGCATTATCATATACAACGCATAAACCTTATTGTCTAACATATTGTGTAAGTTCGGCCGAAAATGTTTGTTAATATCTAAATGTTTTTTTTTAATTCTTATTTTAATCGTTGCAGTCTTGTCTCATTGACGTCAATCAAACATATTTTGTACAACATATTAATTTTGTTAAACAAATAAAACTACAATTTTAAGTTGAAATTGTTTTACCTAAGAATGAATCTAATCTTGTTTGCATGCTACCTTGCATGACCTATCATTGGACTTTCTTTTGAGTTACAAAACGGGAGTGACAAGTTGAGCAAGAGAAAATAGTCTGATTTAACTGCAAAACAATATCGAAAAACTAATATGAT